CCCTAAAATTTATATTGAACAACAATAACTGAAGAGCTAAAGCAATATAAAGAACAAAAAACCTGGAGGAATTGCACTACTGATAACAAACTACATTGTAAAGTAATTGTAATTAAAACACCATGGTACTGGCATAAAAACAGACACACAGGTTAACGGAACAGATTAAAGAGCCCAGAAATTAAATGATGCCTATTTAATCAATTAATAACTGAACCGGGGCAAGAATATACAATGTAGTAAAGACAGTCTCTTCAATAAATAGTGTTGGGAAAAGTGGATTATTATATGCAAAAAAATGAAACAAGACCACTTTCTTATAAAAGAATAAGCTCAAGCTGGATGAAAAACTTAAATGTAAGACCCAAAACCATAAAACTCCTATAGGAAAACAGATAGCAACCTCTCTGACTTGCTCTTAGTAATAACTTTTGGGTGTAGGTCTCCTATAGCAAAGGAGACAAAGGAAAAAATAAACAGAAAGGACCACATCAAACAAAATGTTTTTGCACGGCAAAGAAAACCACCAACAAAACAAAACAAAAAAACAAACTACTGATTGGGAAACGTTATTTTCCAATTACGCATTTGATAGGGGTTAATATCCCAAATATATAAGGAACTCATACAACTTAACACAAAAACACAATCTGATTTAAAAATGGGCAGCGGATATTAATAGACATTTTTCCAAAGAGGACATACAGATTGCCAATAGACATATGCAAAGATGCACAATTATCACTTACCATCAGAGAAAGCAAATTAAAACCTAATAAACAAACTAAACTGATGCAAAAATACAGAGGCATGAATACATGGAACAGACTGATAGCTGTCAGAGGGGAGGTGAAGGGGGTAAGACAAAGGAAGGTGAAGGGATTAGCCAACCTAGCACAACTTCTAGACACGGAACAACAATGTGGGGATGGCCAGAGGAAAGGGAGGACAGGGCTGGGAGGAGGTGGGAAAAGGTGGGGTGGGAGGAAGGGGACATCTGTAATAATGTCAACAATAGAAATGAAGTTAAAATAAGAACCACAAGATATCACTTCACACTTATCAAAATGCTATCATCAATAAATCAACAAACAAGTATTGGCAAAGATGTGGAGAAAAGGATAGACTTGTGCACTGTTGGTGAAAAGTCAAATGCAGCCACTATGAAAATCAGTATGGAGGCCTCCCAAAAAATAATAAAACCACCATATGACCCAGCAGTTCCATTCTGGGTATTCAAAGAAATCCAATACACTAATCTGAAAAGATATATGCATCCCTATGATCAATGCAGCAGTATTTACAATAGCCAAGATATGGAAGCAACCTACTGTATTTTGCCGTGTATAATGCTTTTTTGCCCAAATTTTTGAGGGAAAAACAAGGATGCACATTATACATGGGTATAATGAATACATACCATGGGTATAATGGGCATAATAATCCTGCATATAATGTGCACAAAACATGTGTGTGCATTATACATGACAAAATATGTAAGTTCCATTGATAGACAAATGGATTAAGAAGTGGTGCATATATACAATGAAATACTACTCTGCCATAAAGAATGAAATCATTCTGTATGCAAAACAGATGGACCTAGAAGGTATTATGCTAAGTGAAATGAGTCATACAGAGAAAGACAAATACCATGTTTTCATTTATATGCAGAAATTGAAACACAAAATAAATGAACAGAGTTGGGAGACTCGATGAAAAGAAATGAAAGAATTAAGAAGTACAAATTGGCAATTACAATAGGTTACAGAGCTGTGAAGTACAGCATAGGGAATATAGTCAGTAATATTGCAACTATGTATCATATCAGGTGGGTACTAAGGACTAATCAAGGGATCACTTCTTAAATTATATAAATGTCTAACCACTATGCTGTACACCTGAAACAAATACAATATTGAATGTCAATGGTTTAATTGTAAAAAACTTTTAAAAACATTCAATTAAGTCTATTATCTAGTCTTAGTTTCTATTTTTAATTGTACTTTGCTTAGTTTGTCGTTTTATTTTGTTTCTGATTTCTTGACATAAATGTTTATTCATTCCTTAAACACATTTATGTATGTGACAGGCCCAGATCTGACTGCTGTGGATAAGTGAAGATCAAGACTGTGCCCAAATGTACTTAATTTATTAAAGGTCATTCATTCTTCCTGAACAGAACTTTGGTCATATAAAACAAGTTCAGATATGCAGGCATCTCGTTAATAATCATTTCTAAATAGTCTATAATTTGTTTTGACATTAAACACTTTTATTGAAACTCAAACACAAAAGCAATAGAAATATTATTACAAACCCCATATACAAACCGCTCCACTTCAGTGATTATCAACATTTTGTCAATCTACTTTCCAGTTCTCTTTGCCAATTCTTCTTCTATTGCAGAATTATTTTAATGTAAATCTGGATAGCTTATCAATTCATAAACATTTAAGCATGTATCTCTAACTCTCAAGAACTATTTCTTAACTACAAGGACATTATCATCTCTAACAAAATTATTTCTAAATATTATCTAATAGTCGGTGCCTGTTCACATTTCCTCAGTCTTCAAAATCCTTTTACGTTTTGTTCCAAATAGGTCCAAGTAATGTCTACATACTCTTTAATTGGTATGTCTCTTTTAAAATCTGTTAACAGTTGCCCTTATTTTCTTTCTCATGCTACTCATTAGTTGAAGAAAGCAGGGCCTTTTGTAGAATTTTAGACTCTGGATGTGTTTGGCTGCTTTCTTGTGTTGCCACTTACTTTATCTAGTCACCAAATTCTTAGTTTAAAAAAACTTTGACTTAAAGGTTTAATTCCTTCAGTTCATAATTTTGGCAATAAGGCTTTATAAGTAGTGGTGTGTACTTCCTGTTGCATTATTTCAGGAGGTGAATAGTCTGACAGCCCCACTTTTATAGAGGTTAAAATTGATTAAAGGGTTCAGAGGTGGTCAGCTTGATAAGTCCATTCTAATGTTCTCATTATAAAACCTTTAATAGTTTTAATATTCACTGATTATTTTCTGGACCCATTATTCCATTAAGAAACTATAAAATGGTGATTATTCTAATCCTGTCAATATCTCTGCATTTACTAGATCTTTAAAACATTTTAATTTGAAAAGCTTTTGATGGCTGTAAAACCTGGTTCACACAGGAAAAGCAAAATAAATTATTTTCCCCTTATTTATCAATTTTCAGAATGTTGAGTTGGTACCAAAACATCATCCATAGTTGGCCAAACTAACCAACTTAACTACTGCTGGGGTCATTTCAAAAGACCCAACTTCTACTGGTTGAAGATGGGGCAATATGAGCACCAAAAGTTATATTGACTGTAATGAAATAGTTTTCTTCCTTTTATACAAGAGTTTACACAATCACACACACACACACGAGTATGCAGGTACAATATTAAATTTCCAGTGATTAGTTCCCCTTGTTGCCATCTTTTTGATAGTTTCTAATCAATCTTGAATGGTGCTCAAACAATAGAGATTATAAAATATCTACTTTTGGGAATTTATTATGGGAAAATAACTTCATGTTTCTCTTTGCATCTTCAAGAGCTGTACTCTTAAAAACCTCATATTCATGAAATTCTTAAGGCTTTCTTTTCAGCATGAAATATCTGATGCAACTTAAGCAATGAATTTCTCACATTCAATGCAACCTACTAGATCTTATCCAGAACAAATAGGTGCTGATAAGTTAGAGAAGGCATTTCTCCATTTATGACTTCTATAGGATATTCCTTTCATATGAATTCACTAGTACTAATAATGATACAATTACAGATAATATTTACAGAAAACATGCTATGTGGCTGCTATTTTTCTAAGTATTAACTACTTAATTGTTGTAATTCTATTACACAATGTGTGCAAGCTGACTCTGAATTGGTCCCAACAGTCCCTACCTCCTGCTATTTACACTCTTGTGTACTCCTCTTCCCTTGAGTGTGGGCAACCTAGAAATTTGCTGCTAGCCAGTAGAAGGCAGCAACAGTGATGAAATATTTGGTTGGCCAAAAAGTCTGTATAATTTTTTCCATAAAATAAAAGACACATATTTTCACCAACAACTATTGATTGGGATATTTTGAGTATGTCAGCTATCTCCCCCATGGTATAATGTTGATTGTTTTCAATTAATGTCTTGATTTGATTGCTATCAACTTCAAGCAGTCTACCCAATCATGGACCATCATTCAGGAAAAAATCTCCAGCAAGAAACTTCGCAAACCATTTCTGGCACATTTGATTAGTCATGGCACCTTTTCCATAAGCTGCACAATTCATTTTTTGTGTTTTACCTTTCTTGAAATAATAAAGCACAATATGCTGAAAATGTTGCACATTTTCTTCCATTTAATATTAAAATTGCTAAACAAAAATTCACCAACTTTGATAAGGTTTTTTTAAAATGCATGCTGACATGACAGCTGTCACAATACAATTTAACAATATTGTTTTGAATGAAGTTAAAGAAGCTAAGAGCTAGTAGAGCCATCTTACAGAAAAAAAACACAACAAACTTTTTGACCAACCCAATATTACTTCAGTCATTAGGTTACACAAGATTATAACTTTTATGATTCTAGCAAACTCTATTGCCTTCTTGGCTTGTATGTTTTGAAGTAAGCAACATGTTGCAGAGGCCCATGGGGCAAGGAACTGAGTTCAGCTTTTAGCCAACAGTCAGACACTGAGGACCTCGGTGTGATAGCCCTCAATAAATAAGTTCAGCCAACAACCATGTGAGGTTGGAAGTGGATCCTTTCCCCAGCTGCGCCTTCAGATGAGACCCAGCCCCAGCTAAAACCTTGATTTTTAGCCTTGTGAGAGACCCTGAAGCAGAAAACCCAACTAAATTATACCCAGATTTCTAACCCATAGAAACTGTGAAATAATATATGTATTATTTTAAGTTATTACTTAAGTTGTGGTAATGTATTACACAGCAATAAATAATGTACATAGGCTCTATTATCACCAATTTATGAGTGAACAAAATGAGGCACAGAAGTTTAAGTACCTTGTCCAGTAACATACTGGTAATAAAGTGGTAAAACGGAGATTATGATAAATAAAGCTAAAGATTTTTCTTACATTCATTGTATTATTCTCTGACATATATTTGCTAAAGACAACATCTGAATGGTGGAGGAAGGCTTTTAAAGCAATATTTTTCCATAATATAAAATTTCTTATGCTTAGATGTGAGCATAAAAAATTCTCAAAAATGAATTTTCTGATGTTCTGTACATTTCAAGGTCTTCTTGTACTAAGTTCCGTGAATTTTCTGATGTTGAGTAAGGTGTGAATGCTGTCTAAAGGCCTTCTTACATTCCTTACATTTGTAGGGTTTCTCACCTGTATGAATTCTCTGGTGTTGAGTGAGAAATGAATAAAGTCTAAAAGCCTTACCACATTCCTTACACTCATAAGGTTTCTCACCAGTATGAATACTCTGATGTTGAGTAAGCTGTGAGAGCAGTCTAAATGGTTTTCTACATTCCTTACATTCATAGGGTTTCTCACCAGTGTGAATACTCTGATGTTGAGTAAGTTGTGAGAACAGTCTAAAGGCTTTCCCACATTCTTCACATTCATAAGGTCTCTCACCAATATGAATGCTCTGATGTGAAATAAGTTGTGAGTAACTACTAAAGGTCTTCCAACATTCCATACATTCATAGGGCTTCTCCCGTGTATGAATTCTCTGATGGCGAACAAGTTGTTGTCTTAATCTAAAAGTCTTTCCACATTCCTTACATCCATAGGGTTTCTCACCAGTATGAATACTTTGATGGACAGTAAGTTGTTGGCATATTCTAAAAGCCTTTCCACATTCCTTACATTCATAGGGCTTCTCACCAAAATGAATTTTCTGATGTTCTCTAAGGTCTGGACTGCACACGAAGGCTTTCCCACATTCCTTACATTCATAGAGCTTCTCAGCAGTATGAAGTCTCTGATGTCGAGTAAGGTGTGTGCACTGACGAAAGGTCTTCCCACATGCCTTACATTCATAGGGTTTCTCACCAGTGTGAATTCTTTGATGTCGAGCAAGTTGCTGATGTACTCTAAAGGCCTTTCCACATTCTTTACATTCATAGGGCTTTTCACCAGTATGAAGTCTCTGATGTTGAGTAAGTTCTTGGAGCACTGTAAAGGCCTTCCCACATTCTTTGCATTCATAGGGTTTCTCACCAGTATGAAGTTTGTGATGTCGAATAAGGTGTGCACGCTGTCTAAAAGCCTGACCACATTCCTTACATTTATAAGGTTTCTCACCAGTATGAATTCTCAGGTGTTGACTAAGTGTTGAACGACGAATAAAGGTCTTCCTACATTCCTTACATTCATATAACTTTTCTCCATTACGAACTCTCTGATATTCAGCAAGAAAATTTTGCTTTTTGTTAGTGGTCATTTTTTCAGAAGTAATTTTCACTTGTCTCAAATATCCTTTTTTTGGTTCCGTTTGCCCGTCAATCTTATTTTTGCATTCCCAATAATTTCTAAAAATGGAATCCTGAAGGCAACAGCTTTTAGTTCTTTCCATTACATCCCACTGGAGTAAATATGTTTCATAAATATCCTTTTCTGGAGATAAAGTATTGGTCCTGTATCTGGACTCCAAATCTGAAAGAAAACAAGAAAGCAAACATGCCGTTTTTCTGGAACAGAGAAAAAGAAAACTTCTATAAAGAAATAAAAGGTACTGAAAATAATGCCTATTACAAATGAATGAATCAGATATCTCTAGACCATAAGCATTTCTGCTAGCTACAGCACTACATGTGTACCTAAAATACCTATCCAATGCAAAATTACTATGGAATGTTGGAAGACCTTTAGTAGTTGGAAGACCAAAATTAAAGTTTATGAAGAAAGTAGAGCTGGAGAGGACCACTCAAATCTATGCAACTGTATTAGGAGAGCACTAACATAATAATAGGAACTTCAAGGGAACCCAAAAGGCAGCTCAGCATGACAGAAGGCCACTTTGTGAGTATTAAAAGGCACAAAAAATAAGTGAAAATGCTGGATTTCAGAAACAGACATTGCACATGAAAATAAAGCCCTGCGCCACTAAGGCTACAATTAAGGTGTGAATTAGGTGAAGTGCAATGTGTCTAGCTAGAAGCCATGTAAGGCTGATTGTGTAAGTCTCTGAGGAGGGAGCCCTGGGTGCAAGCATTTATCATTAATTTCTTGATACAGAGGTAAAAGAGCTCCTAACAAAGTATCAAACTAAAGGTTTTTTCCTACACTTCTGAATGTTATATATATACATACTGGCTACTATTCTGGCTACATTCAACTAAGAAAATTACCTGTGAACCCACTAACTTCTATATTATACTGATATCATTTCCTATTTCATATGACTATTAAGCTAATTCAATATGGATTATTAATTAAATTATGGAACAGAAAGTGAAAGAAAGAAGGTGAACTTGGTGACTGGGGAAACAAGTTAAATCAGTGAAGGCCTGATTTAAGTATGGATAAGAATCATCTGAAGATTTGAAACTATACAGAGATTTTTTTAAAAAAACTTTTTATGATTCAGGCACTTTCTATTTTTTTTACTTTATTTATTTTTTACACCATTACAAATGTCCCTATTTTCCCTCCTTTGCCCACCTCTTCCCCACCCCACCCCACCCCCCGCTTCCCTCTGGCCATTGACACTGTTGTCTGTATCAATGGGTTATGCATATGTGCTCTTTGGCTAATCCCTAGTAACTTTCTTTCATCAAGCACCCCACTCTTCATTGCCCTCTGACAGCTGTCAGTCTGTTCTGTGTATCCATGTCTCTGTCTCGATTTTGTTCATCAGTTTATTTTGTTCATTAGGTTCCACATATAAGTGAGGTTATTTGGTATCTGTCTTTCACTGACTGGCTTATTTCAGTTAGCCTAATTTTCTCCAGGTCCATTCATGCTGTCACAAAAGGTAAGAGTTCCTTATTTTTACAGTTGTGTAGTATTCCTTTGTGTAAATAGAGCACAACTTTTTTAATCCACTCATCTACTGATGGACACTTGGGCTCCTTCCAGATCTGGCTATTTTAAATAATGCTGTTATGAACATTGGGGTACATATATTCTTTCATATTGGTGTTTTGGGGATCTTAGGATATATTCCCCAAAGTGGGATTACTGGGTCAAAAGCAGTTCCATTTTTAATTTTTCGAGGAAATTCCATACTATTTTCCACAGTTGCAGCATAAGAGCAGGATCCAATTAGTTTCACAAGTGGCATATCAAAGGGAGATTTCAACAGACACAGGACCCTGTGAGGTAAGTTCCACTTCCTGTGGTCAACACCTGACTGTAGCTTTTATACTGTGGTTGGGGTCAAACCTCATAGTTAGCCAGCCTGAGAGTCAACCCCATGCACGAGGAGACCAACAGTAATCAAAACTCAATTGCAACAATAGGGCTGATGTAACCCACACAAGGGATATTCCGGGGCACCCAGCTCAGGTGATCAAGGAGACTGAGCCACTGGGTCCCACAGGAAACCTATTATATAAGGCCATCCTACGAAGGCTGGGAGACATAGCAGATATATCTAATGCACAGAAGTAAACAAAAAGAGGCAGCAAAAAGGGGAGACAAAAATTATGCCCCAAATGAAAAGAACAGGAGAAATTTCCAGAAAAAGATCTAAATGAAATGGAAGCAAACAATTTACCAGATAGAGTTCAAAAAAATGGTTAAAAGGATGCTCAAGGAACTTAGTAAAAATTTCAAGGAACTCAGTGAAAGCATGAAAAAGGACAGATAAATTATAAAGAATAACCAGTCAGAAATGAAGAATACCTGAAATAAGTAATAGACAAAAAAGAATAAACAGTGAGTTGGATGAAGCAGGCAACTGAATCAGCAATTTAGACACAAGACAGCAGAAAACCCCCAATCAAAAAGCATCAAAGAGAAAAAAAGAATTTTAGAGCTTCCAGTCAAGTGGAGGCAGAGGTAAACATGCCTCACCTTCTTGCAGAACTATAGCAAAAAAATACAACTACACTGCAACACAAATATCACCTAGAATTGTCAGAAAATCAAGCTGTGTGGAATTTCAACAAACAAGAATTTAAAAGAAGCCACATTAATCCAGGTGGGTAGGAAGGGCAGAGACACAGAAGAGGCACAGAGAGGTGGAGAGGTGCAGAGAGCTGCAGGATTGTGCAGAGAGGTGCGGAGATGTGAATGGGCAGTCCCACATACATGTGTGGTGGGTAAAAATCAGAAGGGACACCTTGGGAGTGTGGGATCACAGCCCCAGACCGGACCACCCAGCCCAGGGTTCCAGTGCCAGGAAGATTAGGTCCCTATAACTCTTGGCTGTAAAAACCATGGGGGTAGGGGTGGTAGAAGAAACTGTGGGATTCTCAAGAGACTCCTCTTCAAGGGTCTGCGACAAACCTAGGATTCATGCAGACCCACCCCCTCTCGGATTCAGCACCAGGCAACAGCTGGAAGGGCACCAGTGGCATACCGGGAGAAAGTGAAGTGACTGGAACTGGGTAAGTGCCAGGAGATGGCTTCCTCCCAGGCAAAACTCCAGAGACTAGGCAGTGGTATAGTTCCCTGTCTGAGCTCTCCCCAACACTGAGCAACAGTGGTGACATAGGTTGCTGCATCCTGGTGATGAGCTAAGGCTCCACCCCATCCAACTTCCCAGTGCACTTTGCTACAATAGGCCATGCTATGAAGACAGGGAGTCAAAGCAGCTCTACCTAATACACAGAAACAAACACAGGGAGACTGCCAAAAGGAGGAGACAAAGAAATATGGCCCAAATGAAAGAACAAAGCAAAGTGAGAAGAAAGAAAATAATAAAGATCATAACAGAGGGAGGGAATATGGCAGAGGAGTGGAAGTCACACTGACCTCCTCCAAGGACCAAACTGTAATTGCAACTAAATAGTGGAGAAATCACCTGGAAAACAATGGAACGATAGCAAGAGAAGAGCTTTGGAGCCTCAGACAGACAGCGAAATTGGCTTTTGCACATCCTAATGGGTGAGAAGTGCGGTGGAGGCTTGAGAGGGTGGGTGGGGCACTAATGGGCGCCAGCACCAGAGGGATATTGAAACAGCCAGTTGGATCCCCCTAAGAAGAACAGGGTCTGAATCATATGCAGGGACCTCTAGCCTACAACATGAAAACCCAAAAAGGCACACAGGCAAAAGACAACTGCGAAAAGCAAAGTGGTCCTCTCTGCCAGAGACAGGCAGCTGGAGACACAAAGAAATGTTTAAAGGGCCAACACAAAAATTTGCAGTGGCAGCCACCTTCCTTGGTCTCTGGGCAGAGGCAGGAGCAGAGTGGGCTGGAGCCTGAGAAAAGATTGGTGAGGAAAGCTTTGGGGAGAGAACTGAGACAGTGGCCAGTGGGGCCCCAGGGATGACTCACCTCCCACTCTGCAGCTTCCATCTTCCTCAGGAATAAAGGAAACAACAGACCTCTGGACACTCCGCCCCCGCCAAGAATTGTGCACAGGACTGGGTGCTGAGGGCAGAGTGGCCAGCAGAAATAGTAGATCTCTGGCTGAAGGGGACACAGAGCTGCCTAGAGACCCTTGAGGAATGACTGGAGACAGAGGTGTTGGGGAGAGAACTGAGGAAGTAGCCAGGGCGTTCCCAGTGCTGACTCCTTTGCCATTCCGCAGTCTCCATCTTGCTCAGGCAGACCACTCCCCTGAGCAGCAGCACCCTGTAAGACAACAATAGCCCAGCCCTCAGAAGACACTGCCCTGCCCTTTGGTGCCTAACCCTGAGGGCAAAGGTCAGAGTGACTACATTAACAATTGCAGGAGACAGACACAGACAGTGGATGCCTGGAAGTCTCAAACAGGCTGCCTAAGGTCAGAGAGGGTCAACAACAGACATCATCAGAGGCAGATGCAGAAAGAAAACAAAAAAAAAAAAGACCCACCTACTACCATACAAGTTCACACTATGAAGTCAGGAAATTGAGACAGATCAATTAAAGAAGCAGAAGCAAAAAAAAGAAGAGTCTCACGCTAAGGGGAAGACAAAGAAACACCCTCCAATCAAGACGAAAGGAGGAATCACCACCGAGAGAAATAATGAAATAGAGGCAAGTAAAATATTAGATATTGAATTCAAAACAATGGTTCTAAGGAAGCTCAATGAGCTTAGTGAGCTTAAACAGAACTCTGAGAAACTATAGGAAAACTATCAGGAACTTACTGCAAACTATATCAACGTGAAAAGGACATAGCAACTATCACTAAGAGACAAGAGGGAATGAAGAATACCATTTATCAATTGAAGAACACAGTAGAAAAACAAAAGCAGGCAAGATGAAGCAGAGGATCGAATCAGCGAGCTGGAGGTAAAGGTAGAAAAAGGCTAAGAGAAAGAGCAAGAAATGGAAAAAAGGACTCAAAAAGAATGAAGAGGTGTTTAAGGAAATGCAGAACAACCTGAAACATACTAATATCTGTATAATAGGGACACAAGAAGGAGAAGAAGAGGAGCAAAGGATAAAGAATATGTTTGAAAAAAATGATGGAAAACTTCCCTAATGGAGGAGAGAAAAAGTCTCACAAGTCCAGGAAGCTCAAAGGGCCCCATTCTAAAGGAACCAAATGAGGC